GTAAACTTTCTTTTTTAATTACAAACTTAAAAAAAAGTAACTTTCTTTTTTAGAAAAATTAATACTTTTCTATGTTACTATAAGAAACTGCAAAAGTTTAGAATACGAAGATGAATGAATTTAATTTCCAGTATAAATTCAGGTGCTATTTGTACATCATGCTCCTTTACAATTTATAAATTAAGAAAATATTTTTAGATCTCTTATGTGTAAATGACAGATCTTACGTGTAAAAGTAAATCTCCCATATATAAAAAAAAAATTAAGGTCATAAAACTAAAAATAAATTTGTAAAGAGTTACAAAAATCAATTGACCCGTCTGAATCCGTTCCTTTACAATTTATAATGTAAGAAAATAACATTTTTAGAACTCTTATGTATAAAAGACAAATCTCTTACGTGTAAAAGTAAATCTCACATACGTAAAAAAGGAGTTAGGATCATAAAACTAAAACAAAAAATTGTAAAGAGTTACAAAACCAATTGACCCGTCTGAATCCGTTCCTTTTACAATTTATAATGTAAGAACATAATATTATTTAGATTTCTTATGTATAAAAAACAAATCTCTTACGTGCAGAAGTAAATCTCTCATATGTAAAAAAGAGTTAGGGTCATAAAACTAAAAATAAATTTGTAAAGAGTTACAAAACCAATTGACCCGTCTGAATCCGTTCCTTTACAATTTATAATGTAAGAAAATAACACTTTTTAGATCTCTTATGTATAAAAGACAAATCTCTTACGTGTAAAAGTAAATCTCCCATATTTAAATAAAGAGTTAGGGTCATAAAATTAAAAAGAAATTTGTAAAGAGTTACAAAACCGATTGACCCATAAATTCAGACACCCGTTCCTAAAATTTTCAAAAATAAAATTACAATGTGAAAAAGTATATAAAGCAATCAACTAGTTTAAAAAAAGAGTTAGGGTCATAAAATTAAAAAGAAATTTGTAAAGAGTTACAAAACCGATTGACCCATAAATTCAGACACNCCATAACATCAATATATGCTAAGGGAACAAAGCCCACGCGAAAATAATCAAATTACACCACAAATCCCGAAATTGGCTAAACCCGACCCCCAGGCCCACGTCTCGAATTCCGATAAAATTCACAAAACTAGAATCCTTAAACTCTCCCAAGTTCATACATACCAAATACACCAAAATCCGACCACAAGCGACCCCTCAAATCCCTAAATCAAAGTCTCCAATTCCAAGCCCTAATCTCCCAACTTCGTTCCCTAATTTCCTGCTAATACCATGATTAAACATTGGAAAAATGGTCATAAACACAAGTAATAAAGCTTAAGTAGCTTACCCAACTGAAAACCTTCGATTCCCTTGAAAAATCACTGCCTTAGCTCTCTTCCCGTCTTCAAAAATGGAGAAACTTAGCAAAAATTCGCGAATGCATCTATTTATATGTTCTGCCCAGCGATACCACACCTGCAGTCCATTTCCCGCACCTGCGGGACCGCTTCTGTGCTCCATCCAACCGCTTCTGCGGTCTTTCATTTAAATTCCCTAACCGCACCTGCGATGCAATATCCGCACCTGCGGTGACGCAGGTGCGTTCCTTCTTCCGCACCTGCGACTTCTGCCCTCTTCACTTGTGGCCACATCTGCGGCTAAATCTCGCTTCTACGATCATCGCACCTGCGGTCCCCTAACCGCAGGTGCGGTTATGACAGAACCAGCAGCTTCAGCTGCATCCTCAAATTTCCAAACTTTCCGTTAACCATCCGAAAACATCCCGAGGCCCCCGGGACCTCAACCAAAAATATGAACAAGTCATATAACACTATTCAAACTTATACCAATCTTCGGAACACTCAGAACAACACCGAAACACCAAATCACCCTCGGATTCAAGCCTAAGGATTCCAAAACTTCCGAATTCCACAAACGAACAAAGAGTCTATCAAACCCCCTCAGAATGACCTGAAATTTTGCACACACATCACAAATAACACAATGGACCTACTCCGATTTCCGTAATTCCATTCCGACCCTGATATCAAAATTTCCACTACTAACTGGAAAACGCCAAAATTCCATTTTCGCCAATTCAAGCCTACATCTACCACGGACCTCCAAAATACATTCCAATCATGCTCCTAAGTCACAAATCACCTCACGAAGCTATCCGAATCATAAAAACCAAATTCCGAGATCGCTTACTCACAAGTCAACTTCCGGTTGACTTTTCCAACTAAATGGCCAACTTAAGAGACTAAGTGTCTCAAACCTCTCCAAAACCACCCCGAACCCGAACCAACCAACCCGATACCACATAATACAGCTGAACAAGACATAAAGAAGCAAAAATGGGGGAAATGGAGCGGTAACTCATGAAACGACTGATCGGGTCGTTACAAGAAAGAAGTGAGCAGCCTACAAATGAGACAGCTGGCAAAGCCATGCCTAAAGTGGGCGTTAGAGCAGGCTGGGTGAGCCTTTTAGATCGCGTTGGAGCAAGCCAGGCGAGGGGTAATGCGAGGTCCACCAGGTGTGGAAGCTGGCGACGCTAGGCCAGTGGCAAGCTCAAGCTGGCGTTAGACCTCGCAAAGCCAGGTTTAGGGCGCGCACATTCCGAGCTTTGAAGGCTTATTTCGTCTCCTGGTTTGACTAGGACTTGACCTACGCGTTTAGGTCTCTTCCTACACATATAAATAGACCTAAAATGCCACTTTTGAAGGAGTTTCGGCAGCCGGAGACAAGAATAGCTCGTGGAACACCTGTTGGGAGTTACAATCATTGATTTCTACATCCTTTCATCTTTACTTTTTAATTTCATTATGAAAAATATTTTTGATATTGTTACTATGAGTATGAGTAGCTAAACTCCTAATCTAGGGTTTTGATGGAACCTATTGGAGGATGATTTTCCTGTTACGTTAAAGTAGATTTGCCGTAGTATTTTCTCTATTTGTTCAACTATATTATTATTGTTGTTGATTGAAGGGCCCTCAATTGACTATGCCTAATTAGTACGTATTACTCGGGAGAGTGCATATTGAGGTAGTTGTTGAATAACATTACTCCTAACGTGTATGAGGGATCAATACGAAGGGTTTAAAGGCGGGATTAGGGATAACAAAACTTTGGTGCGATCCGAGTGAGCCGTACTTAATGCCAGCTAGCGTAATTCGGGAGAATATGTCAAGTATATTGTGGTAATTACTCGGAAGAGAGTTACGACAGTCAGAGTGCTCATGATCGGTAGAGAAGACTTAGGCAAATTTATAGAAAATGTAGCGGAAAGGATTCTGACAATAGGGAAAATCATAACCTTAGATCATTCAAATTCTTGTCTACAACCCGTTCGTAGTTAGTTATTATTTATTGCATTTTTATTACGTAATATTTAGTTAGTAAACATCCAATTTGTTACTTAAATATTTCGTAAGATTGATTGTGTGAATTTGGGCGAGTCTAGTAGATGTGTTTAATAGGTTAATACCCTGTGGGATTCGACTCCGGACTTATTAACCAGAATATATTTGCAACGACCGCTAAGTCCTTTTTACACGGCATAGTTGGGCATTATCAAATTTTGGCGCCGTTGCCGGGGAATTAACGGTGTTATTAAGTGCAACTAAAAGAAGTGCTAGAATTCTTAGTGTAGTCAATTATCTTTATTTTAAACCAAATACATTGAAATTCTAACGTTTGTAGTCTTGGGTGTTACAGGTGCATGCTTAGGAACTCCTTAAGAACTGGTGAATTGCTCGAAGCATTATCAAATCCTGAGAAAATTTTCAAGGCACTGAATCGTGCAAACAAGAGAGGCAAACAACAACAAAACTCGAAAGAACAAATAGAACCAGACATGGATGACAGAGTAGAAAATCCAAACAACAGAAACAATGAGAATGACCCGAACAATCAGGATGTGGTGCCTCTTGAACGAAGTTTTACCATAACATTCCTCTATGAACCGGTATGGAATTGATTCATAGACCGATTAATTATGAAAATAAAAATGACTCTTTTATTTCTAGATTACCCTTTCAAGTAAATAAGAACCTCGAAATTTCTTCTAGTTCCAACACGTCCAAACACAACTTTTTTGAATTTTCTTAAAATAGATAAAGAGTTTCTTACAGATTATCGAAAGATTCGTTCGAATCCGACCCAACATGAATTTTTAGCTAAAATGGTTTTTCGGGAGATAGAGAAAGATACAAAGCTCTATTAGAGGTTATAGTTAAAGCCGCTAATAGAAAACCGAAATAACTAGTTATAGTAAGCATGAAGCGGCTAAATGTCCAAATAATCCCGTACCATGACGTATATGAAATAGTAGTAATTAGTGAAATAAAAATACTTATACAAACCATCGAAGTAATTCCATCTCCTACGGTCCAAAGATGAAAATCTTTGTAATATTCTGAACCATTCATGAACATCACATTGGGAAGTAATACCACTCCTAGACCCCCTAATATAAGACCCGACCCTAGAAAGACCAACATGTATTGGTTCAGATAAATCCACCTTTTATAAAAAATCAAAAACGAAGAATTTCATGACTTTATTGACCTGAATCCGATCCGCAAGGACCATGCCGTGTTAACCAGTTTTTCCATTGATTGATTTTATAACTATGAAGTTTCTTATGTGCGATACAATTTTGTTTCTTTCATAATAACTAGAAATATTCTTGTTATTTATTCGACTCATATTCCTCAAAAAGTGGATCCCGCTCTAATAGCTCCGAATAAATTAAATACGTGCATTAAGATACGAAGGCTTCTTCTTCAACAACGAAAGCACTTTTTCACTCTTTTATATACTAGGGAATTTCACTCGGAAAAGAAAATGTTCCATACTAACGGATACAATAACTGTCCTAGCTCTACCATATCTTTTATTTTATTTCTTCTGGAACAATCACAAATACTTTTTTGATTATGGATCTACTTATTCACTTGTATAAGCCATGGCTAAAATTGCAAAAATAAGAGCTTGAATACCACTTGAAAAATAATCCAAGGAGCATGACAGGTATAGGAACTACTAAGTACTAACGAAACAAGAACAACAACTACTAATTCATCAGCTAAGATATTCCCGAAAAGTCAAAATCTAAGTGGTAAAGGTTTTGTGAAATCTTCTAAGATGTTAATGGGTAAAAGGATGAAGCAATAACGCGTTGATCTAGTCGCCACCGGAGCCACAAAGGACTATCTAAATTGATTCGTTTCTGCCGATAAGCCCCAATTGCATCGTAGGAATTAGAAAAAACGGTTCTTTCGTATACTTATAGTGACTATTGTCACTTCTTTTTTGATTTTGATAGTTTTTGCGATTACATGGATTATATCTATTTACACAAATACCTCGATGATTTCCGCTCTATAGATTACTTCTTAATACAATTTCTTTCAAATTCATTAAAATTTCATGTACCGATTCTTGAATGCCCGTTATGGTAGAATATTCATGTGGGACTTTCTCAGATTTTACACGTGTGATACATGTTCCTTCTATTTCTCCAAGTAAAGCTCTTCGCATCGCTGTGCCTATTGTGTCGGCTTGGCCTTTCATAAGTAGAGATAGAATAAAGCTTCCATATAAGGTAAGATTTTAATTCTTATTCTTTTTTTTCCATCTGATTGATAAAATCCAAAGAATGGGGAGGGTTTCGTATCTATCAATTCTATCAAATAGACTGAGCAATTGTTACCGTTTATAGATATTGAAATGAATGCCTTCCCATTACTGATTAACTCCTATCTACTCCAATCTATGGGACTGATGCAGCATAAATCAAAAGAAAAGAGGGGGAGGGGGGGGGGGATGTTAGTCTTTTTGAATTTTACAAAATGCGAGCTGTATAGGCACAAAGCCAAACAAGTCCAGATTAAGACGGGGATTTTACCCCCTTTATCTAATGCTGAATCGACGACCTATTCTAAGTAAGAAGAGCTTTTTGGATTTGAAAAAAAAGAAATAACTTTGCTGACAATTAAATATTTTTTATTTTGTCAGAAGAGTCCTCCGAATATTTTGGTCTTACATTAGTTTTGATATTTTTTTGGAATATGAACAAAGAAGAGAAGATAGGCTCATTACATCCATAAAAGAAGATATGAGAATTTACCTTAAGTAATTGAGCGTGAGAGCCAAATGAATCGAAAGATTCATGTTTGGTTCAGAAGGGATTATGGAATTTTGGAAAGGAATGGAAAAATAATCTACTTTCATTAAGTGATTTATTAGATAATCGAAAATACAGGATCTTGAATACTATTCGAAATTCAGAAGAACTGCGTGGATGGGCTATTGAACAACTCGAAAAAGCCCGTTCTCGCTTACCGATCCAGTTCCTCCACCAATGCGAACCCCAGTTAGATTCAGGAATGCTACACTTTTTAGTTATTGGGAGAACCCAAGTACTCTCTTTCTGATTCAGGACCCAACTCTCAGAGATCATTTTTCCTTTGGGAAGATAAAGGAGCGAAACAATCAACCTATTGATATTGGAAGACCCAACGGATTCTTCCAATGTATCATTTCTGGGTCCAATGGAATTCATAGGTATAGGAAGAATGTTATGGTTCTTTTTCATCAACATTTAATCGAATTCAAGACAAGTTATTACAAATACAAGAGCGGACGGCGCATTGTATGAACCAGTGTGCGGACCGTGTGAATCAAATATTGTATTGATGATTCGTATGATTTTCTACCTTATGTAGTTCAATTTCATGTGCCAGAAGCAGAAATGTATGATTAGGCACAACCCACCGCCGATAACCTGGCAACCGCAATTGCAGTCCCTCAGATACAAGCAGAATCATTTCAAATCAAAAACTACATGCTACATTTGTTGCAGAACAAGGGACTGTTCTCAGGATCATACATTTAAGACCCTCAGCAGCATCTGAAGAATTTTCTGTCGATATGTGTCACGCAAAGGCAACCTAATGTGACACCGAAAGCAATCAAGCTGTTGTTGTTTCCATTCTCTGTGACAGGAGAAGCTCAAACTTGGGTTAATTCACTCCCCACAAATTCCATCACTACTTGGGATGAATTAGTCAAGCAATTTTTGAACAAGTTCTACCCACCTAATAAAATTGCCAAACAAATTGATGATATATTGAGCTTCAGACAGAGACTAACAAAATCACTACAAGAAACGTGGGAGAGGTTCAAGGATATGCTGGTTAAGTGTCCACATCATGGAATTCCAGATCAGATGTTGGGGCAGATGTTCTACATGGGACTGGCAGATGGCTTAAAGGCCAATGTTGATGCTTCAGCAGGTGGAGCATTTTTGAGCAAAACATTTAGAGAATGCAAGATCCTACTTGATAAGATGGCCCAAAACTCAGGATGGATGACAAGAGACTCTACGATCACTCCTGTAGTTCATTCAGTGGCTTTGGACCCAAACAACTCCATAGCTGAAAATATGGCCACTCTAATGACGCAAATGAGTATCCTCACAAAAAAGATCGATGAATCAGGCCAGAAGCAGCAGGTACACATAGTAGATGCAACTAATAGGGGCTTATGTACACACTGCATTGACCAACCATATGTTTGCTCGTGGAGTGCGGAAGGTGAAAAACAACAATATCAGGAAGATATGAACTATGTGACCATTTATGGGGGACAGAGGCAAGGTGGTCAGAATTGGGGACAACAGAATCAACAATATAGACCAGCACAACAACAGTACAATAACAGCAACAATCATGGAGCTATGCGACCACAGGGTCAAGTGGTGCCTTACCAAAGGCAACAGGGTTACAACCAACAAAATCAACAGCTGGCTTATCAACAACCTCAACAACAACAGATTGTGAGACAAGATGATGGGTTTGGTAAACTTAAGGGAATGCTGAACAACAACAACAGAATGCTGCAACAACTGATTGGGTCCATTAGAAAAATGCAAGAGAGAGTGGACTCACATGAATAAGCGATAAAGGGTATTGAGATACAATTAGGACAGATTTCGATGGCTCTGAATAATCATTCCCAAGGGACGTTATCTGCAGACACACAAATCAATCCAAAAGAGCAGGGCTCGAAATAGCTTATGGCAGTGAGTCTACGAAATGGTAGAGACCTAAATCTAGAGCAAGAAATTGCTGGCGAAAGCCGATCTACTGAAACACTTGTGCCAGTACCCATTGAGATAGATGAGTCAACATGGTTAACTGAGGTGACGGTACAACATGCACAAGAGAGCACAAGCAAAGAAAAAGAGGTTGCGAAGGAGACTGAGGTAGCACAAGAAACGACAGTAGAAGCAGTGCTTGAGCAAGATAAAACTCAAATCACAGGAAAGAAGCAACCTCCAGCACCATTCTCACAGAGATTGGCCAAATATCAGAAAGACGAGCAGTACAATAAATTCATGGAGATGTTGAAACAAATCCAAGTGAACATTCCACTGATTGACGCTTTGCGGGAGATGCCTGGGTATGCCAAAATGATGAAAGATCTAATGTCTCGCAAATTCGACTTCCAAGACCTGTCCACTGTTACATTGACACAGACCTGTAGTGCAATCGTGACGAGGCCCATAGCTGAGAAGTTATCAGCCTAGGGAGTTTCACAATCCCATGCATGATAGGCAGCTATGCTTTTGCTAAAGCATTGTGTGATTTGGGGGAAAAACATAAACTTGATGACCTTGGCTATCTACAAAAGGCTAAGCATTGGAAGAGCAAGACCCACATCCATGTTACTACAGCTAGCCTACCGGACAGTGAAGAGGCTATCAGGTATCCTTAATGATGTATTAGTACAGGTTGGGAAATTTGTGTTTCTAGCAGATTTTGTTATTCGGGACTGCCGAGTTGACGAGGAGATTCCCATAATTTTGGGAAGACCATTCTTGGCCACTGGGAGAGCTTTAATTGATTGTGAAACTGGAGAGCTAAAAATGAGACTAAATGATGAAGAGATAACATTCAATGTGCAGAAATCTATGCGGCGACGAAGTGAATTTGCTAACTACTCTCTAATAGAAGCTGTGGATGTAATTTTGGAGGAGGAAGATGAGACCTTGAACGCTAAAGACCCTCTAGCAGTCTGTCTCATGAACTTAGATGAAGCAATGAGAGGACTTGGCAGAGTGGGTACTGGCTCTTGAAGGCCAAGGGTTTTGGAAAAGGGAGCTTGAATTTGAGCCTTTGCACTTAGAAAGAAAGGAAAATTCCTCCAGCTAAGCCATCAATAGAAGAGCCACCAAAGTTGGAACTGAAGCCACTACCACCTCATCTCAGGTATGCTTTCTTGGGACCTAACTCAACTTTACCTGTTATTATCTCATCTAGTTTGTTAGATGTGCAGGCAAAACAACTTTTGCAGGTATTGATGGCGTGAAAGACTGCAATTGGTTGGACCATTGCAGATATTAAGGGTATCAGCCCGGCATTTTGTATGCATAAGATTTTACAGGAAGATGGGCACAGACCTTCTAGAGAACATCAAAGAAGGCTGAACCACAACATGAAAGAAGTGGTGAAGAAAGAAGTGATCAAGTGGTTAGATGCGGGAATCATCTTCCCCATCTCTGACAGTAACTGGGTCAGCCCAGTTCAGCGTGTGCTAAAGAAGGGCGGTATGACTGTAGTGCAAAATAAGAATAATGAGTTGATCTCAACACGAACAGTCAAAGGTTGGCGAAACTGTATGGATTAAAGAAAGTTGAACAAGGCTACCCAAAAAGACCATTTCCCACTGCCATTCATTGATCAGATACTAGATAGATTGGCAGGGAGGTCCCACTTCTGCTTTCTGGATGGATACNTTCATTCTTCATCTAATTAGATAGATTAGATAAATGATCTAGCAATGATGGCATTTTCATTTTGTTTACCGAATCACATGAAATTTTACCCAACTCCATATCTGGAATGTATGAAATACGTATGAACGGAGGAAGAAAGAGAATTTTCTACTTAAATTGAATTGGAATTTATTGGAATTTTCAACAGATACAAATGGAAAGAAATTGATAAAACATCCCTAGAAACAGACTTCTGCTACTTAGACTTATTAATTAAGTTATAGGATTTTGTATAGAATATCAAAACAAAAATGATTCCATTTCTACCATTATTATGATAATACATATTCCAACCTGCTTGAATACCAGAAAAATAAATGGATTCGACATTTGATCTTTTCGCTGAGATAAAGGCATAAAAATAAGAAAGAATATATAGAATTAGAATCGGTTTTTTAGCATTTAACCCCCTTTTATGTTATGGATTTCGTTGTTCAAAAATAAAGAAGTTTCCTTGGCCACGCCGGTTTCTATAGACGGTTTATAAAGATTTTTCCAAAATTGCTAACCCCTCGTGTAAATTGCTTGAAAAAGATCACCCTTTTGTGTTATAGGATGACTGCAGGGTAGCTTTTGAGGAATTGAAGAAGAGGCGGTGACATCACCTATCATAGTTGCACCTGACTGAGAGCAACCATTTGAGCTGATGTGTGACGCAAGTGACTATTGTTGATAACCAATTTTTCCCTTATATATACATATACTTTCAAAATAGTGCATGTGGATTTATAAGCATACACAAATATTTTTTTATAATTTTTCATAATTTTTAAAGTCTTTAAATCAATTTATTTCTGCATTTTATTATATATAAATACCCAATAATTATCCTCCAAATCATTTTATGGTTATTTGATCATCTTAACTTATCATTTATACCAACATACTGTTTTAATATTTTTAGTGTATTTTTTATAATTACATTTGCATTTTTAAGGCTAAATTGCACATTTTGCAATAATAACCCATATGCATATATAATCACATTATTTATGCAGAAAACGACTTTTTTAAAAATATTTTTACAAGGTTAAGTAATCAATTTTAGTCAATTTCATGCACAAAAGATATTTTTGTTATTTATTTACTACGTTTATAATTTATTTATTTGTTAAAAATTGGGTATTTAAAATCTGGCCCTAAATTCATCCTAATTTCGGACCTAAACTACCCCAACCCCAGCCCAATAATATCTGAGCCCAAACGAAATAACCCATCAGCCCAACCAATTAACTAATCTGACCCAAAACCCCTGACTAATCGTGGTCGTTGATTTCTAAGATCAACGGCCCATGTCACTCCTCCCCTTTTAATTAACCAAACCCTACCCTAATCTAACCATTCCCCGTCGCCCGCTGCCTTCGAACGCTCTCAAAACTCTCTCACTTCTCTGCCTAAACCTTAGCCGTCTCCCCCAATTTTCTCTCATAATCCCACCGGACATGGGATTACTTAGTTGTTTCCTGCCATATACTACTTCCCTCTGGTACTGAAACCTTCTATATACCGCTTGCCTAAACATGGCAAGCGGATCTCTTCAATTTCGAACCAAAACTGGTTCAGTTCCTTCACCTTTTTTCGTCTGTGTTCATTCTTGTTCTTTTATGGTATGAATCTCTATGAATCTCTGTGTATCTTTGTAATTTTTACTTACCCTAAAATTAAGGTCTCAGATCTCTTTTAGATCTAACCAAATATGGTTCGATTCTATGATTTTAAATGTTATCTCGTCTATATGCATCCTATTATGTGTAAATTTGTTCTTCTCCGCGACTTTACTTACCCTAAAATTAGGGTTTCGGATTCTTTTAAATCGAACGAAATTTGGTTCGATTCCTGTCTATGTTCATCTTATTCTACGAACATGTGATTTTTTACCTTTTATTTCTGCCGATTTGTGTACTTTACTTAAAATTAGGGTTTTAAATTTTCTCCTTTTCTTTACTGATTTTGAGTGTTTTCCTTTCTAGTGTTTGACCGATGATTTTCCATGTTTATGTGTTCGATTCCTACACTATATAAACCCCTTCCCATTCCCCTTTGAAACAGTTCTGGAAATCACTAAGAAAATTACAAAAATAAAATAAAATTAAGGCTTGTGTGCTCTTTGCTCTTTAACAATCTTATTCTGCAACTTTGGTTCCTGGCCGGCTGAAAGCCAAGGCTAGAAATTCTGGGTTATCAACTCTTTCTTTGATAACACTGTGGACTTCTTTTCTTTCTTGTTTTCATTTAACTGGTGAGTTACCAAACCTTTGTCATTTCACTTATACTTGCCTGACAATAGCATGCGTTTTCACTTCTGAAGATTTTTGTTCAAAATGTTTCTGGACTATTCTCGTATGCAATTCTAAACATCTTGCTTCAATTTTAAGCTTCTCCTAATCCAGACGCCATTACGTTTGTAGTTTGAGATATGTTTAGACCTGAGTTGATTGCTTTCTTTTTGATTATGCCTAGCCTATGTGTCACTGATAGACATCTCTTGGATGTTTAAGTTTGCTATTAGCCCTGTTATTTGAACATGCTCTCATATCCCTTTGCTATACATTAGTTGACTCAGTATGAGTGTATTCATTAAGTAAATAGCAAGTCTGTTTCTGAATCTGCGGTAATATAGCCTGTTTTGATCCAGTTTTCATTATGTCTTGACTTCTCTAGTAATTGCCCTAATTAGTTTTCAGCATGTTAAGTTCTGTTGCTAATTGATATGATCCCTTCTTATGACACTAGCCTTCTACACTTAGCATAATCTGAATTCTCTTTCTTCTTCTTACTATAAGACTGTTTTGCAACTTGTTTTGTTATGCATTCTGTGTTGAACTTATTTTTTTGAATTTTGTTAAGTCTGTTCTTAAATCTAAGCATGTTCTGTTGCCTATCTTATGTGCTCAATTTGATTCTATCCTTCAGTGTTGTCCCTTAACCTTGTTCTATTCCTTTACTATCTGGTCCTTTTGAGTTCTTATTCATAGCCGGCCGAAAGCCAAGGCTACTTAGGTTCTGTCTTTTAACCTCCCTAGTGTGAGCACTGCTTAGGGTTCATTTGAGACCCTCGTGAACTCTGACGCACTAGGACTTGGTCCCTAGTTATTCTCTGAATCTCTCCTATTAGCCAC